ACAGGGTCAAATGGGAGTTCCATTTTTAGTTTTTTGAGGAAACTCCATACTGTCTTCCATAGTGGCTGCACCAGTCTGCATTCCCACCAGCAGCACACAAGTGTTCCTTTTTCTCCACATCCTCTCCAGCACTTGTCGTTTGTTGATTTGTTGATGATAGCCAGTCTGACAGATGTGAGATGGTACCTCATTGTTGTTTTGAAGAGGAAGTAATTTTATACACACACACACACACTCACACTAAGAACATTTACAAAATTATTCACCAGAGAAGTGATATAGTCTAAATTTTTTATTTAGTGTAAGAGTAGTCCAGAAAACAAGTAAATTATGAATCTATAGTAGGTTTTTAAAAAAGATTTTTTATTGATTTTTAGAGAGAAAGGAAAGGAGAAGGGGATGAGAGAGAAACATTGATGGGCTGCCTCCTGCACGCCCCTCATTAGGGATCGAGCCCACAACCCAAGTATGTGCCCTGACTGGGAATTGAACCAGCAACCTTTCAGTACAGGGGATGATGCCCAACCAACAGCCACACTGTCTAGGACAATCTATAGTATTTTATAAAAATCTATTAAAAGTAGTTCATGTCCTTTCCTATCTTTAACTTTCCAAATGAGTGAAATAGCATATGATCATGCCTAGCACTGTGCTTTGGCACAGAGTGAACTCTCAAATACTTATTGAGATAAATTGAATTTTGGGGCTTGATACTGCATGCTTCCACAAAGCATTCTTTGGAGCTCCTACCAGATGTATTCTGAACAATTGAGAGTGCTCTGCCCAGGATGGCAATTCTCATGTTTCATGTTGTCATTTCTTTCAGGTTGCTCCATGAAAAAAGATCCCTTGTTAAGGTAGGTAATAAATACTCAGGGTTTGAATTGGATACTTAAAATGGGTATATTTTGTTTTATGTAAATTCTACTTTGGTAAAGAAAACTGTATACATGACTTTTGTGAATGACTGAATACAAGATGTTGGTAGTGAAATGATAAATGTATTTATCATTTTCACCAAAGGTGTCTTTGTTATGCACTCACCAAGACTTTGTCTGTATTTGATATTAAATTAGTCTTCTCATTTTCTTAATTGTTCTCTTAAGTTTTGGGGGAGCAGAACATATTGAGGATAGTGTACAAAAAGCTAATTTTTTGGAAATGCTTTGAAAATACATTGTGGAAATGCTTTTTCTCCTGAAGATTAATTAACCTAAAAGTATGATATGCCAAAGTTGTTTATAGAAGCGCTAACCTTGTTAATTTTTTAACTGTTACAGACAGTGACACACACACACATGTTAAGCCAGTTCATTCACAGAAATAATCGAGGTTAAACTAAATTTTCTAAACATAAGATTTTCTTAACATAAACTACCATGATGTTGGAACCAACTAACTCAGTCCCAAATTTGAAGTAATTTAGATTAATAGTTCAGATTTATGTTTTCTAATATTCTATTTACATAGAGGTAGGGAAGGAAGTTTCCAGCTAGTGTTCTTTCCCCAAACTCATCTAGAAAATGAGGAAATTCCTCTGCTCCTAGACATGTTTACTCTTTCACCTACTCCTTGTCATGCAGCCTTTAACTAATTAATATCTGATTCTAAAATTGTAAGGCTTTTTCCTTTTTTTACCCTCGGGCATTAAATCCTATGTGTACTTGTTTTAAATGTAATTTATACTTTGATTATAATCCTGACTAGTTTTCTTTGTTTAACTTTTATTTAGAACAAACTTTTTCCACAAGCTATTTCTTATTTAGAGAAGACTTTTCAGGTTCGTAGACCTGCGGGCACTATCTTACTTAGCAGGTATGTCATATTAAACACAGATCATTTTCTTGTCATTTAGTACTCTGCCCTCCCCATTCTACCTGTATGGCAAATTATGAAATTTATACCAGAATATTTTATTATGATTTTTAAAAATATATTTTATTGATTTTTTACAGAGAGGAAGGGTAAGAGATAGAGAGTTAGAAACATCGATGAGAGAGAAACATCGATCAGCTGCCTCCTGCACATCTCCTACTGGGGATGTGCCTGCAACCCAGGTACATGCCCTTGACCGGAATCAAACCTGGGATCTTTCAGTCCCCAGGCCAACGCTCTATCCACTGACCCAAACCGGTTTCGGCTATTATGATTTTTTAGAGACCAAAACACAAGCTATTTTAAAATAATATAACAGCATCTATTGGATAATTATTCTTTTCCTGATTTTCTATTATGTGGTGACTTACTAGATTTTTTCCTAGGACAGTGATGGCGAACCTCTGACACCTCTGACACGCGAACTCATTATTTTGGTTGATTTTTCTTTGTTAAATGGCATTTAAATATATAAAATAAATATCAAAAATATAAGCCTTTGTTTTACTATGGTTGCAAATATCAAAAAATTTCTATATGTGATATGGCATCAGAGTTAAGTTAGGGTTTTTCAAAATGCTGACACGCCGAGCTCAAAAGGTTTGCCATCACTGTCCTAGGGTATAGTTGTCCCTGCTGCCTACATCCCCTTTCTCCCTCCTTCTTTGTCTGCAGTATTGGTTTTATGAAATATTTGAGTATTTGAAAACTCAGATCAGGAGGATTTCCCATGGAACCAAAATTTTTCCTTAGTCCACTTTTCTAACTACAATAGTAACTATTAATGAGCTAATATAGCAGTTACTAGTTTTTTATGATGTCTTTGACTACTGTGAACTATTCTCCCCCCCTGCTTTTTTTTTTCTTTTTGGCAATTAAACTTTGATGTACAAATGAACTGAAGACAATGTGCAACAAACCAATACCTACGGAAGGAAAATGATCCCCACAGATATTGTACTGGAGAATGTGCAGAGCATACAAAATGTGGCCCCATTATAGTGCCTGAAGAGCACCTCCAGGTAATTCAGCCTGCTCTTAGCAATGTTTTTTGTTTTGTTTTGTTTGTTTGCCATAAATGTTCCTTAAAGGTTTTTCTTTTTTTCTTAAGCAATATTTTTATTCTTTAGAATAACTTTAGGGGAATTTTGAATCTTTGTTACCAAGAAGTGTTTTTCTTTAATATACATTTTTATTGATTTCAGAGAGGAATGGAGAGGGAGAGAGAGAGAGATAGAAACATCAATGATAAGAGAGAATCATTGATCAGCTGCCTCCTGCACCTCCCCCACTGTGGATCAAGCCTGCAACCCCAGCATGTGCCCTGATTGGGAATCAAACTGATCTCCTGGTTCATAGGTCGACGCCTAACCACTAAGCCATAAGGCCGGGCTACCTTATATACTTTTGTATTTGAATTTTTTAAAAGATATATGAATTACTTATAGTAGGAAATGTATTTATCTTTTAAATTTTTAGAAATAATTTTGAAATAAAATAATCATAGATTTATAGGAAGCTGCAAAAAATATATATAAGGAGGTCCCTTTTATATTTCTTTTTTGCATCCTGGTTGGCTGCTGCTTAGAAATAGCAGTTATTTGTTTGAGGTAAAATTATAGATTTATGATTATTTTACATAAAGTAGAAATTTTAGTAAAATGGATTCAGAGTTACTAGTAGAGACAAGAAGTGAGTAGAGGGAGGTATGGATTTTGATAAATTTGAGGGATAAATAAAAATTAAATTATATATATTCAGAGTCTGGATTCACTATAAATTAAAAGTCTCCACAGCTAACCTTGTCTTTGGTCTGATTTTCTGTTGCCCCCACCCCCAATGGGCGCAGCAATGCAGGGTCTGCCGTGGGGGTAAGTGGCCCTGTGGAGCGGTGGGTTTGCCAGACCAAGAGGGGGTCCGAGATGCTGACTTTGTTCTTTATGTTGGTGCTCTGGCCACCGAGAGGTGCAGCCATGAAAACATCATTTCTTATGCAGCCTTTTGTCAGCTTTTTTTTTAAGCAAAAATGGACAGGTAAGCTTTCCCCTGAGACATTTCTCAACATCTAATATGGGAACGTTTAAAACAAACTATATTATGTGTTTAGAGTACAAGAAGTTTGCACTTGCCAAATTGCCTTTAGAAGTAAGAAACGGCACACTGCCTGAATGGGGGGCCAGAGAGTGGAGGAATCAGGTTACATTCAAGGAAAATGAAATTTTCTGAATCACTGGTATGTGCTTCAGAATTATTCTGTCAGTCAGTACTGAAGTTGGTAAGGAGTTCAAAATCAGCATCATGGATTATGAAAAGCAGTCTGTTACCATGATACTATGTAATTATTGATTCATGAAATTGACTCAAAAATTTTTAGCTTCTGAATGTTCAAAAAGCTTATAATTAAATATTGAGTGTTATGTACTAATGAAGAAGAAAGTGCTGTATTGTTTTGCAGATACATATGTCAGTTGTTTAGTAAAAAGAATATATATTTAATAGAGTGTTTTCCCCCCCCTGAGATATTAGTTAAATACTAGGGGCCCAGTGCACGAATTTTGTGCACTGGGCCTGGCTGGCAATCAGGGCCAATCGGACCTCCCTTCCCCTGGCTGCTGGCTGCCGGCCGGGGCCATCCTTCATTCTACATCGCCCCCTGGTGTTCAGCGCATGTCATAATGAGCGGTCAAACTCCCAATCGGTTGAACTCATGAGGGGACAATCTGCATATTAGCCTTTTATTATATAGGATACTTAAAAATAAGCTTAGGTTAGGAAGAAGCCATGTGTACCTATTGCTGTTAGAAGCCACTTTAGTGGACACTGTGTAAGGATGAGAGCTTCATGAAATGGATTGAAGAGAAAGACAAGGCTGTTTTAATTTAATGTTATAGAAGTCCCTGATGGGTTTTAGGCCTGACAGTGACATCCATTTTGTATTTTAGAGATTGCTAACAATGTTTTGGTAAGTGAATTATATATACTGTTTCTAAGTGTAAGTCTATTGTTTTCAAATATGAAGAAACTATACTATGTTTTTTATTTTACTTTTTAATAAATATTTATTGTTCAGATTATTACAGTTGTTCCTCTTTTCCCCCCTCATAGCTCCCTCCACCCGGTTCCCATCCCACCCCCCTGCCCTTACCCCCCCATTCTCATCCATAGGTGTACAATTCTTGTCCAGTCTCTTCCCGCACCCCCCACACCCATTCCCCCCGAGAATTGTCAGT